TAAATTTTAAACGTTTCAATTTTCATATCTTAAAACATATTTGTTGGAACAATTAGTTTTTCGTTCATGTCATCTCTTAAATTTGGTGAGACGTAATAGAATATAGAATACCTTGAAAAATAATAATAATATAGTATCTTAACTAATCGTTAATATAAAAAAACTGATGAAAGAACTTATTTAATCTATAAAAAGATTTAAATAACTAAAATAAAAACTCTAATCCGAACAAGCGATATTAAAACCAATAAATTTAGGAATGAAATCATATTTTATTACGTAATTTGTAATATCCCATTTTAATAATATAAAATTATTGAAATAAGAGTTACAAAGAAGATAACTTCCAATAAACTTGAAATGTCAAGAGAAGAAAAATCTACACCTTTAAAATAAAAGAAGCTATATATATTGCTGCTCTACCACCAACCCCTATACTGAGACAATTGGAAAGATGTTCTCCTTGAGCTCACACTCATTAAAATGATCATCACAAAAAAGAAAACACACATACAAACAAAAGCAAAAGCAAGGGTAGACTAACGATAAAACGGTTTAACATAGAAAAATAAAATTCAACATACACTTTCAATCACATAATTAGTAGAACATCTTCCACCATTCACACATATCAAAACATCTTTCCCTTTCACACCATTGACTTGGACTTGGCCAAACCCTTTACAATATAGTATAAATGTCAAGCCATGGAAGGTTCTGCACTTGTGTGGTGGAATAATTGACCCACTCAAAGCTGCCACATAAGGTTAGTCCTTAAAACATTCTTTGCCACCATGTAAAAAGACCTCAGACTAGGACCTCCTACTTTTCTCACGACATGACTCATCACTCTCTAATTGAGCATGAATGATCACTAGAGTGCTAGGATAACCCCATATCGACTTCTTAATATTTATACCATTTATACACATGAAACCCCTAATAAGATATTCTTCCTTGGAATTCTCTTTTACAACCTTGAAAACCATTTGAAATCATACATATGTCCGTACACTTCACATTGAATACCAACATATAACATCACTCATCATACATTAAATAATAGAAACACCCATACAAGTCATTAGAAATCACACATAACAATTTTCTTCATAGCAACATGATACTCCCACTTAGGCAGAGAAAACAACTTTGAAACCCTCACCAACAGCTCTGGAAGGTTCTAAAACCCCCAAAACAACCTATAGAACGTCCAAAACAGATACCCGGTATTTCTAACACCTGAAACAGAAACCAAAAGTGGTACGGTAGCGCTCAACACCCAAAAGCTACCCCTCAACACCAGAGCCACTCGAATGGTGGTGTTCAACGTTGGTGCCCCTAGAATGGTGGCGCTCAACGCCTGGTTTGGGCGCTCAGCGCTATCAGCATAAATTTACCCTTTTTAAAATATTTTCCTCACTTTCCCCACAACTTATAAAATCTCTTAAGACCCTTTAGACCTTAAGAAAACTATAAAACATTGTTGTAACTCAAATTTGCCACCCTAAACCTAAATTAAGCTCTTTAAGCTACCAAAACACATTTCTTCCTCTTTTAACATTCAATCCACTGCACAAGCTGCATAAACTAGTTTTAAATGACTTGATAGCAGCCCTAAACTCTCCAATTTAACTCATAATCACTCCCTTAGAAACCACTACCCAAAACCCCTCATTTGGACCAAAACCATGCAAAATACACCCTCACAACCCTCTACTGCATAATACAACAAAATTTTACTGGTTTAAAGTCTCAACAAGTCCTAAATGGCTTTAAAATAGTCCTCATACTTATGCTTTTCTCAAATCACCATTCTCTCAAAAACTCACCTATCAAAACCCCCAATCCACTCTAGAGCAGTAGAAAAATGAACTCAAGTGCTCTTTCTCAATCTAAATTCATAATATAACTATTTTAAAACTTAAACCAATTATACTAGACCCTTTACTAAACTGCAGATTTCTCTTTAAACTAATTATTTCAAAATTTGACATATCAACACCCATCAATTTAAACCACAAAGTAGTAACTCAACCATTTCTCTTCATTGATCTCCAATAAAGTTTTGCATTTACTACCATACCAATTTAATATACATGTACCCACACAATATGCATACATACATATAAACGCAAGCACACATCATAAAGTACAATAATCACTTGTTCACCCAATTTATCATATCCAATTTATCATGAACCACATTAAACACATCAAGAACAGATTCCAAACTTCCTACTACATATATGAAAAACAAAATTAGCTTCCCTTACCTCTTAGAAACTCTGGCTAACTCTAGAGAACTTTACTTTGCTCCCTCCTCTCAAAGAGATCAAACAACATCTACAGGCCTTGAAAACATGATCAAGGTATACATTAAAATCATTGATCAATAGAGAACCTAAGATACATGCGATAAAGAGAAACTTCACATGCATTGAAGAACGTGAAACTTAGAGAAAATGGTAAAAAACCGACTTACTCTATTTGATAAATTGATCGGGATACTTGAAGATCTCACCGCAAGGATCACATAAGTGGTCTCTGATCTTCAAACAGATGAACATGATATAAGAACCCTTGGAGAGAAGGCAAAGGATTTTAGAAAAGTGGGGTCTAAAGGGATGATGTTATTTTATTTAATTTATTTTTCGTTCATATCTGTGCATTTAGGTTCATATATTTATATTCTGTTTTTATATTATTTTAAACAGCTATATATATGAATTGTACTCTCTCTTTATCATTGAATAAGATACACATTTTTCATCATTTCTTTTCTCATAACAAATGTGTTTTAAAATAATAAAATCATTTATAACAATTCCTTTTATATTAAAACCTTTTAATATTAAAATAATAGAGTCTTATTATTTTTAACTCACTACCACTTATAAAATACTATTTTCTAGATCTTGATGTAGTTCTATAAACAGAAGTTTGTATTCCTAAAAAAAACTAAAAAACTACCCACCTATTCACTTTGACTTCCTCTACAAATAGCAGTACATGAAGTTAAACTATCACAACCCTTACTTCAATCATTAGTATTCACTTTAAACAAATTTTGTAGATGAAACTTGTCATATTACTTCCATAAATGAAATCACGTACCTTAGTTTCAATATTGAAAAATTTTAGCATCAAGCCGAGACTAGGGATGACAAAAAAATCCGCGGCCGCAGATATCCGCGGATAAAACCCGCGACGGATAGCTGGTACCCGCGAATATTTACTATCCACGACTTGCAGGTAGCGTGTTTTTTAATACCCGCTTATAAACGGGTCGGGTGCGGATATTATACTATCCGTACCCGCAGATATCCGCTACCCACAAAAAATAAAAATAAAAATTTAATTTATATTTTATTAAGTTAAATTTAATTAAAATTAACATTAATTTATATTTTATAAGGTTAAATATAATTAAAATTAAAATTAAATTTATATTTAATTTAATATATATTATATTTTATATATTTTTTGTAATTTTATTTAAGTTTTATTATAATATTTTATAAAAATATACTTTTTTTAAATATTTGCGCGTATCCGCGGGTATCCACGGATATCCGCGAGTTTTAAAATATCCACGGGTATTTTTAAAGCAGATATCCGTGTGGGTAGCGGATGGATTTTTTTTGTCTGGTCGGGTTGCGGGTAGGCACTATCTGTGCCCGACCCGACCCGTTGGCATCCCTACCCGAGACAATATTACTCATATATTCCTCTTAGATTTATTTCTAGCACACTAACACCTTAATTTGAAAAAAGAAATAGCAGAAGGAATTGTAATTGGATTTTGAAATCCACTATGATTTCTCATCCTCCAAATCATCCAAATAATTGCACTAATAACAACCACTTTAATCACTTTAAACAAAGGACTACAAAATGACTTCATAAACTAAACAACTAAATCCAAATAAGAAAACTACAAATCTTGAAAAGCTTCCTTTAGCTTTGTCCACAACCATATGATAATAGAACAATGAAAGAACACATGAGAGAAAAATTCAACATTATTACTACATAAAGAACACATAAAGCATACAACCACCTTTTTTATTGAACTTCCAAATCAATAGGTAAACAAACGTACAACAACTTCTAAAGAACCAAAGTTTTAGCTCGTGGCTTCTCATCTAACCAAATCAGATTTCCCGAATCCACACTCCCATACCAGAAGAGTAAAACTTTTTTGTAACTTTTTGAGAAACCACACCGTATCATTTAGAATCCAATTAGGTACATCCTCATCCTCATTAACCATTAAAGAAGAAAAATCACATAAATTGATAACAAGAGAAGGAAAGTTTTGTCTAGGTCAAAGTAACAACAGAGTATAACTTTATTACATCAAAATAAGAAATTCTAACCAATTTAGATGTGTAAATGTCACAACACCAACCATCATTATAAATATTAATACAACCAACCTTACCTAGTGTCGAGAAGATATTTTCAAGAAGAATATCATCTGCATCCTTAATACCATGTCAAATTGATGAAAATTTAAATAACATATATTTCTAATACTTTAACTTACGCAATCGAATACGCATGAGTTCAACTCAAGTCATTCTTCTATAAGCAAAACTCCCAAGCTAAGCGTGAGATAAACTTTATTCTCTAACTGAATATAAGTAACTTGCAAAACTACCATTCACCTTAGAACCACATAAGATAGGTCATTTAACCGTGAACAATTCCCGTTTTTGTGTATCTTAATTCTAAACAAAAGTTTTAATCCATTGTTCCACCTCAATTTATTACTATTATTATTATCATTAAATGTTGTAACCTACTACATTATAGATTAATGAGAAAGACTAATATAATTAACGGACTTCAATTTCAAAAATTTATTTGATACTTACTAATTTCATCCCTACTAAAGTAATAATCTACTCATTAAAAAAATAATAATGGTACTTTTTGATTGCACAAAAAGTAATGAACATTGGACTTTGGAAAAAGGAAAAAAAACACCCATAAACTGAATTGGTGTATGCTATACAACCTTTTAGGAGTAATGTACATGTTACAATATAAAAATATAATTTTACATTCATATTTTATACATGGCAAGTGACTGCAGAATTTGAACTCTGAAACATACTGTTGTTGGAGAACTGAGAAAGAACTCAGCAAAAACAATAGCCAGAGAAAACAATTACTGAAAATTAGTGAAGAACTAGGGTTGATTTTGAGGTGAACTTTGTGCATCTTTTAATCTGTCTCATCCTGTCTTCTTGTTAGACAGATTTCAAAACCATTCACCAAACGAGCAGAGGGAAAGAAGGACATCCTATCTTCCTTCATCTGTGTCCATCTGTTGATGAAAACATTCAATCAATCAGCTATGGTTAAGTTTGCTAATTTATGATTAAGCTAAAAATTATTATTATTATGAGCACTTAAATGTCTTTTAACGCATTCTGTATTATTATTCTACAAAGTTGATATAGTGGTTGAAAATAATAGATTCTGGTAGTTTGAAAGAGAAGAATTACCAAAAAACTGAGACATGTGTAGTAAGTAATACTTAACAAATAAATTACTAAACATGTTACTAGTATTTCTCCTTCACTCAAGAATGAAGATAGTATGAAAAAACTGTATTATTAACACTTTTCAAATGATTAGCAGCAGATTTGTAAATACAGATAGACCTTTTGGTACATTCTAATAGTAGTTAACAATATTTTTATTTTAACTATAAGTGAGAATCATTATCAGTAGTAAAAAGATGTGCTAGAAGGTATATTTTGATCTTCATTCTTAGACAAGAAGTGAAATTTGCGAACTTTTAGGCCACAAAGATATGTCTAGTGAGTGAAGGAGTATTAAGAAGTAAACTTTATATATAATTCAACCTATGAGATTTACAACCATCTATGTATTAGAAATTCATCTTATCTCGAATAACATCTCGAATAAGAAGGCACAATACCTGTATGTAGTAACAAAGTAATGAAGAAAAAGAGCAATTTGAAGGCGTGCCAGCTCTGCTCCTGGACAGAATCTGGCACCTCCACCAAATGGTGCATAGAATGAACTACTTCTCCAGTTTCTCTTTTCCTGCATTCAGACCATAAAAATTAAGAAAAAAATAAAATACAAAATAAAGAACTATAGAGTACTTAATTAAATCAAGAATGCATCAAAATGGTATGAGAAACTAACCTCATTTTCATGTTCCATCCATCTCCAAGGATTGAAGTCTAGAGCTCCACTGTATATTTTCTCATCTAAATGGACTGCTGAAAGAAATGGAACCACAAAGCACCCTTTGGGAATAATGAAATCTGCTCAAAACCAGAGAAGTTTGTGTTAGATAAATTGGCTGCAATAGTACTAGAGTGTATCAATGGTAAGTTATTAACCAATTATCAGCAAAGAAAGGTTAGAATCTAATTGGTCTGTTACTATCAATATAAAAGAGTTCTACTCTTGTATCAATGTTTTGACAGACTATTATTGATTGCTTTTGTTTTATCATTAAGATTGAATCATTGACATTGAGAGAATGAAATTTAACTGATGAATGATAAAGTGTGAATATGTATCAATGAATGTAAAATGTAACAGAAAAACTATTGTAAGACTATGCTTATCATATTTACACATACTAAAAATTTTGTACCTTGGTATTGAACATCTTCTTTTGCTTCTCTCATTAACCAAATTGCAATGCCCCCAAGTCTCAGTGTTTCATCAATGACCTGTTCGTGAAGACAAGAACAGGAAAACTTAAATAACCCACTATTTTCTACTATTGAATATACAAAAAAAAATTTAAATTTACTCTAAATAAGTAGAATTTAAATTTGTGAAACAGTAAAATGCTAATCACTTACGCATTGAGTGAATGACATTGCTTTGTAGTCCTGCCATGTGAGCAATTCATCTCCAGAATGACTCCTCAGTGAACCATGTTCATCCTGTTCAAGGAAAAATTTTGTAAGAATTATTGAACAAATTCTTCTTCAGTTTAAGTATAACTCAAGAAATCACCTAATGATAGTTTCATGTATCAAATAAACATGCAGGAAAAAATTTCAAGACTAGTTGTGCCATATATACCAGCAACTGCTTCATGGCTCTTGGACATTGAGTAAGGAAATAGACTGCAAAGAGCATTGTTTTGGTTGTTGTTTCATTTCCGGCAAAGAGAAGATTGATAATGAAGTCCGCAACAGCATCATCTGGCAAGCTTTCTTCCTCTAGCAATCTTCCAAGTACACCACTGCCTTCCATTGGAGCACCCTTTTGTCTGTGTTCCTCAATGATCTTGTTTATCTTGCTTATGATATTCTCCCTTGCCTGATATCCAAACAATGTAGATTTCAATACCATATGACTTGACAATCTCATCTAATCATATTAGTCTTAGAATTGTATTCTATAAATGCAATTTCATTACTAGACTAATGCCTAATAACAATCATAAAAGGAAAGAAGGGTGAGAAATGATAAATTTGAATACTAATGTTCTTGAGTTCACTCATTGAAGGAAGTGACAATGAGAATGATAATATTCCTCTTTAAGCCATAGTTCAAAAATCATATAACTCTGTATTTTCTGTCTGTCTGTCTGTATGTGTATGACTTTAGAAATTTAATTGTTGTACCTTCATAGCAGTGTGGTATGCATATCCAGGGATGTTGATTGGAATGGATAAACAACCATCAACAAAGTCAGAAAACAACTGAGCCATTTCATTGACTTGAGACTCACTTGAAACCCCCAATAGTTGATTAACCATTAAATGTATAGCCACCTGAAGTAAATCATGTAGATATGAATTGAAAATGAGCCACATGCAGTAAATACTATGGTAACCTGACATATAGAAATGCATTATCAGTTGAAATTACTTACTTTCCTACAAACATCTTGGAGAAGAATGACTTGGTTGTTGTTAAAATTGCCCAAAGTTTGGACCATGACCTTTTGGATATCATTCAAGAAGTGGAACTTAAGCTTCTCCAGACGCATCATATTGGAGGCAATTCCATGTAGCTTCCTTTGTTGCTCTCCTTGCACTGTGATCACACCATTTTTTCCGACCAAATCTCTGAAAGATTTTGGGTAGCTGGAAATGAATAATCTTCCTTCATTCTGCATTACAAAGCGGTTGAAGCTTGGATCTGCTGACACCACTGCCCATTTGCCAAATAGGCTGCATGAAAATATCTTACCATACCTGTGCCAAATGAAGGTTCCATCTGTCAGATTGGTTTCACAAATGGATTTTTAGCTTTTTGCAAAGTATTCCCTTAAGAACAACTTAGTTTTCAAACTAAGTGAATTCTAAAGAATGACCCTCTTCAGAGCATTTTTCATACAGAAATAAGCTTGCATAACAGGAATTTTTCGTATTGTTTTCCTATCAGAGTTTTATATCAGTAACCTGTGGTAACATTTAATGTAGGTCTTCATTAGAAAATAATAATACTAAAAGTACCAAAAGAGTTGCTTCTAAACTTATCCTTTCGTAGGGTCTGTGATTGGATTAATCACCTCTTACAAATTGAGAAATTAGCCTGTTAAAATTCTTATCTAACTAGCAACTTAAATTCCAAATCAACCAAACTCAACTATTTCAAAAGCTAGAATATGTAGCACTTTTTGTTGAGGTGGCAAATTGGCAGTAAATACCTCTTCACCATTTCTTCAACAAACTGAGGAGGATGAGAACTTGCAACAGCATTGTACCAATTGATGCTGTCTCCAATCAAAGGCCACCCTCTCCTTCCTGGTGGTAATCTGCATTTTCTTTTATCTTCCTTCCCTAACTTGAATAGAATTATTTTTGCAAATATGGCCGTGACCAATATCACTGAGATCAAAACTAGCCAAGTTTCTGAAATATTCTCTCTCATTTTCTCCATGAAATAAGATGCAGAGAAAAAGAAATCACACCTCAACCTGGCAGAGAAAACTGCATATTCATAGTGAGCCAAACATGGTAATCATTTGTCAATGCAAATCTGAACTATTTATAGAGAAAAGGAAGAATTTATGAGGGCGAAACACGCATAGTTGACCAAACTTAAGAAGATCTGGTAGGGCCATGTTAACATAGTATTTTACATCAATAAATCATTCCCAGAATCTATTTTATTAAGACAAGTTTGAACATGTACCGATACAACGAAAACTAAATAAAAAAAGTTGTGTTGGAGAACTATAAAATTCCACATTTAACAAAGGAAAAGTGTACATAAACATAAAAGGGTTGAGTTCAATTGATTTTAAACTTTTTGGACAATACATCTCCCTTACTTGATATAAATCCAATCAAGTGCAGACTCCTATTTGGCCCATACAATTTCTTCATGTTAACTTAGTATTTTACATGAACAAATCATTCCCAGAATCTATTTTATTAAAGCAAGTTTTAACGCGTAAACATTCAAACAAAATTAAATAAAAAAAAGTGGACACAAAGATCACAATCTGGCTGCATTATTTGGAGAATATGAATCCAATTTTTTGTCTCGATATGCAATCTAAAGGATAATCATACGTCTACTACGCGGCTACCCCATAAGACTAAAAACTTTTACTATATATAATATTTGCTGACTTTTCACAATCTTACATCCTAACAACCAAATGATAGATACTATGAATCTTTCTGGTATGAGAACCACACAAAATTGATGATTAAAATTTGAGAAAAAGATGAGACAGTAATTTTAATACCAAGTGGTAACAAAACATTAACATACCCTACCAGAAAGAACAGTCACCTTATAACTCTGCTGATGAAGTAATATGTAGCATTCAAGAACTTGCTGTGTGTTCCTTAGAGCATAGAAACATTGAGGAAAGGGAAGAAGGTGTGTCTTGTGATGCTTTCAAATTAGAATATATATATATATATATATATATATATATATATAAGGAAAAGGGTCACTTAACTGGTCCAAAAGAGAGCTTTTGGTGTGCATTTAATAGTGTCATGAACTCATGTTCAAATTGATGAGCACAAAATAAGGAGCATAATGATCAACTAGTAGAGGTTGTCATCAAGAAAAGTTAGCTAGAGTTTGACTTGCCCTTCTTACGCTATGCAGTTATGTAGCAATGCATTAATCAATTTGCCACATTCCAGTGACGCAACACTCACCTTTTGTGAAAGAAAGAAAGAAAGAAAAGAAATCATCTGATAAAATATTCTAATCAGAGTATCATATTACTTGCTGCTATAAATACTATGACAGACATTGAATAGGTGTGTTCCCTGTCATATAGAATAGACATAATTTACAACCATCAATTAGTGTAGGTAACTATAAGTAGGAGCCACAACTCTCATATCTATCAAATTTAAAACTAATAAGAGAAAAACAGTTTCTTTTTCTTTTCTGGCTTTTATAGGGTGCTTGGATGAGAATACATGTTCCAACTATACTGTCAGTGAATGTATACTTACAAGAATCTGACAACATTTTGACCTGTCTGTTCAAGAAAGAAGAACATTATTCTTAAGAAGTGTTTGTCAGATTCTTGTAAGTACACCATGTTAGCATTGTTGTTAGCAGAAGTTTACTGAGAAATTACTTCAAATGTTCAAACCACAAGCAAAACAACAAATGGTTTTCAACTACACTATGATGCTATGTAATTTTTTTTAAAATAAGTCAATTTTATAATGAAAAATAATTGCTTTAGACGACAACAATAACAAGAGTTATTTTTTAATTAAGTACATTGACTGCATGAACCAAAGAACATCATATATTATTTGTTGTAAAATATGACAACAGAAAACATTCACTTATAAATCTTTAATGATATATACTAAAGGAAATAATGTGGAAGCTAGTAGAATTACTATTACATTATCTAAATTGGAGATAAATTCTTTCTTGTTTAATTTTCATGACTTTGTCATATGAAAAATTTGTTTCTATTTCTATCTTGATATACATCAAATAGGTGAGGGCGTAATTAATGTTTGAGTGTTTAAAAAAAACATAAATACATACTTTGTGTATGATAACGTGCAAAAGTTTAACATGAAATAAATATTTTTAATTAAGTGGTAAACTTTATAATATTAATTTTTTTATAAACGACAATAAAAATCGAATTTATGTTTTCATACTGTTCAAAACTTTTACTTTTGAGACCTTGATGAATTTTATAATATAAATACAAGTATAATAGGACATAAGAAAACAATATTCTAATTTACAAAGTTTTTTCACTCGTTACAAGTCCATTAATTTATTTGAATTTAACCAATTCCAAAATAATTACAAACTACATTTTTTATGACCTTTAGTACTGTAGGTTAATTTATTGATTTATATTTAACTAACTTTGCCACGTTTTAAACTTATCTAGTGAAAATATTAGAATGTGATTTTTGTATGTCTAGCAATTATTGCCTCATTATTATTTAATGGATTTAATTAATATGCAATTTTCTACATAACTAAATGCAATAAATATGTAAGCAGCAAAACATATAATAAAAAAAAATACTTACATTTCAAATACATACATTATAACTAAACATATGGAAATATGAAAACCAGAAACCTAACCTCCTTTCATAGTTAAACAAGGAGTTTAATTTTAAGATTATATGAAAAAATTTAATTAAATTACATATGGTATATACATGGTATTTGTAATTTTTTTATATGTTTTCACTTTACATTGTGATTTATAGAAATAGCTAATCCTTTAATAGGAGGAAAGATTGGGTTTCTTAGCTGACAATTATGGGTGTAATGGAAATGGATGGGTTATTATGGAGCCACTAAATGGACCAGTCAAAGTGGTAAAGACTTTGAATCCTAATTTTAAGGCCTTTTTCCAGGAATGAGCACCCTAAAGCTATGCAGTAAATTATTTAAGCATTATAAATGTTTAATGCTTATTGGGTGATTGATGTGAACTCAATTATAATAAATAAATGCCAGCAACAGCCAGCCATGTAATGCAACACAATGCCAGTTATGTCAGCAAACTAGGGTAGCTTGCTTCAACACAACACAAAATAAACCAAAGGCTAATCACATATAAACTTTATACCTTGATTATCAGTCATTCAAATAATTGCTTCAATAAAGTAAAAAAAAATAGTATTTCCAATCCGTGTAAATAATATTATGATGATTGATTATTATATTTGAAGTACTTTTGTTTTGAAATATGAAATTTGAAGTTTTTGTCACAATTTTATTTTTTTAAAAAATGTTTTTTATTATTGAAAAAAATATATATTTAAATGACTCTCTTACTTTCACATTCCTTTTTAGTTTATTAGTATGTAAAAGTAGTTTTGTCCACTGTAATCTATAATTGTCCTCCTAACACACTTTTAATTTTAATTACAATTTACTGAGAACTATAAAATTACAAGTGAAATTTATTAACCCACCAAATCAAATAGCAATGTCTTCATGTTGATTCGGTTCATTTTTAAAAGTGATTTCTATTTGATTGTCTTCATTTATGCTTATCTACAACTCGATTAAATTACTCCTATACTTTAAGAAATGGACGATATTATAATCAGTGTAGTTACCAACAGCCACAAGTCACATTACTATCATCATTAAGAGCATTCCAATGTTTTTGGGGGAGATAATATGAAATGTTGGTTAATGAACTCAAGTGAGATGCTAGAATCAGATATTAAATTAACGATGCTTTTATTTAAAGCAGTTGAGAATTGGCGTTTCTTGTTTGCAGAAGCCACCCCATTAATTTTATCACACAAGCATCTTGTAGGGTTAGAATATACAAATAAATTACTTGAGTTATAGTTATCTTGCAATACCAGCCAAGAGCTGTCATTCTTAAATTTTATATTACAATGTTCTGCTGCATGATGAAATCAGTGACGCAGCAGTTTTGTTTGCCACAAAACATCTTACATGATCTGAACATACAATATTCAGTTCAAGCAGGGCATAACACCAGAAACATTAGCCTCTCATGTCCAGGCAATTTATAATTGCACACCTTTGTTGCAACATGGATATTTCTAATGAATTTCTACTAGTTGATAAGATTTTAAAAGAGTTAATAATCATAACAGCTTATGATGAAACAAACACATTGTTTCTTACTACCAAATATTTTGTTGCTAGACTAAATGACATTTTTTTACATAAAGAATTCTCCTTAAAACTAAGCCTGAGTTGTTTTTTTTATTTTCTGTTGTGTATATAAGCTCCCACCATCTCCTATGCTGTTTTACCTTTTTAACCTTGCAGATGTTCATCCAATTTGGGATAAAATCTCTTTTCTTTTTCATCTGTGTTTCTGCATCTGATTATTATGGCTGTTCAGAAAAAAGCCACACTAACAAAGTGGTGTCTAAAATGATAAAGGAGAAATATATCAGTTCCTAAATATAACTTATTTCATATTTTACAATGCTTTAAAAGAAATTGATCGCAGATACATATTTAAATACTAACTTTAGAAACAAAATACAATACAACTTGCATTGCAGGCCTTCATTGTGACATCATGATCTACCACCATATGGGAGCCCTGCAACTTGCAAGCCGTCATTGTGACACCAAGATAAGCCATATGAAACCTTTTTCACCCACTACCCTAAATTGTCTCCATTACAATTATTTATTTAATTTAAATTGGGTACCTGTGAGTGCATTAGATGTATCCATGCAGCAACAATCTCTTTCTAACATATACCTGACCTCGAAATATCACATTATCCTTGCTCAAATCGCAAAGGTATTATTGCATAGAAAAATAGCATTTGCATAAAAAAATATATCCATTGCCATTAATGAATATAACACAGTTGCAGAACTAATTTCTATTGAACTGTCACTTCGTTTCATTTGTGTCTATGGATGGCAAAGAGCCAATCAAACAATACCCAGTTTTACATGTAACCCGAATTGTTGTGCTCTACCCAGATAGCATGGAAAAAATTATATTATATTGCATTGTATTAAATCATATCATCTATTAAAAAACGCATAGCTTTACATGTCATTTATAACCTGAAAAGTCTTTCTGTCAGATACCAAGGAAAATACATATTATAAAAGGAAACAAAAAGTTGCCATATGGTAGACGGTCCTAACATAAATGTTGGACATTACATTCGAATCTGATGCAAATCACATGGACAAAGATGGAATATAAAGGATAAGACTAGCTTCTGATTTAACTCTAAGTTACCGTAGTTTCAATTTCTAATCACAGCAATTGGTGCTCATGCTTTGCAAGATTGGAGAACATAAACATATTTTGGATTGAGGGTAATCAGTAGTATACTTAATGATGGAAATCAAAACAAAATTTCAAAAACCCTTATACTTCAATTTTGGAGTCTTGTGCCTGGAGGGGGAGGGGAGGGATGCGGTCCTTGAAAACCACTTGGTTATTCTTCTAATGCTATCCAAAATACAAAAGCCTCATCATCATAAACTGACCTTGGCTTTCTTTCATCCTTCTATTCTGCTCCTCAAAATTCATATATGAAAACATAATTTGAGTAGGGGAGAAATTTGAAAAATCGAGCATTTCCTTTGAGACTCATTTACAGTGGAAAGCTAATTACCTAGACTGGGAACTATAGTATTGATCCCCTCCCGCCCAAAATGGGGGCCAAGGGAGCAGAGGAGCTAGAAACTCATGTGCAAATATCTTACAAATAAGTCGAGCAGGCAGCTTTATCATAGCTGAACTCAGCTTCAAAACCTCTGGAAATGTCTAAGGATAGCAAAAAAGGAGAATAGAATTTGCAGGTACATAAAAAGAGTTAGGAATCCCATGAATCCTATGCATACCGTCTAAGATGCACAGTAAGATTGAGATCCTTACAACTTGCACCATACACTTTCATCAAGCTTCACAATTTTTTCCAGATATTTAAGATGCCATTAGCAAATGACTTGACATTTCCCCACAAAGTTGATTTTTCTGAATAGACTGCAACATTTTTATCCTTGGTATTAGGGATGTCCCTGGATATTTGCGAGAAGGAAAGCAACTTTAATATCACACACAAATTTGCGTCAAACAAAATACACATGAAAATTGAAAAAATAGATAATATAAGGAAACACATAGAAAAGGCAGGAAATTTTGCACAAGACAGATATGTTCTATGCACATGCACAATCCATGAATGCCTATTTCAGGAAGAATAGACATAAGTTCCAAAACTCAGAAAACAACATAATCTATTTATGAACAACGAAGATGTACCCAAACCTGGTCCCAATACTTCAACTTATATGTGTGCATAATTTTAATCTACCTCAGATGTATTTTGCACATAGAAGTGACTTGTTTTTCCTTAGTAAATTTCATTTATTAGATTTTATGACTTCTATTTCATTAACATAAAATGATGCTCTCATGTAAACTTCGTTGCACCATTTCACTTTAGACTTTAATCAAGACTAGGAGATGTTATTCTCTGAATATTCTCCTGGGTATATAATAGGATGATGTGGGTTTCAGATTGTGTATTAGCTTATTGTACATGAATAACATTAATTTTGAAAATGTCTACAAGCCTGTTCTTTTGTGCTTCTCTACATCACTGTTTAAACTAATATTTAATTTCAAATTTCTTCATCAATGTTTTCTGCATGAACACTAAGGAGTGTCCATGGAATATTAACCGGTAGACTACGTCTATCCTCACCTTACTAAATTAGGTACCATTCCAATGTTATTCACTAGTTAACTAGTGCTGGTATTATTCAAGTGGTAATGCAAATTATAATAACATTATATTAGTTATATATCTATAAAGATATGAAAAACTCACATTTTGTACTCATCCAACTCAGAAGACTTTTGAGGTTGCTCTATTTCAAGCTTTGAACCATCGACAGCCTCTTTGTCTTTTGTCTCATACCCTGCTTTCTCAAATGCTGAATGGTTTTCCATATCAACAAACTTAGAATCGTGGTTCTTACCTTTGCTGCAACTGCTTACAGATTTTTCAATAAAAGGAGCAGAAAATTGGTCTATTTCTTCTTTTAGAGGGTGCCTTTCTGGGGTAACAGAATCAGAAGAACTAGATAAATCTTCACTACACTTCACATCATTTGGCACCTGGAGACTTGAATGGGGAAGCTCTCTAGACAGGTCTTCCAAATCAAGTTGCTCCCTTCTCTCGCAATCTGCTTTCTTAATGCACTTTTCATCCAATTTTTTATGATTTTCTACATGAACAAAGTCATATTTGTGGCCCCGAGCTCTACCGTAACCAGTACCATCATTTTGACTAGACAAAGGAGAAAAATGATGGCTTTCCTCTAGTAGCAGCTGACTTTCAGGTGCAAAAGAATCAGAACAACTAGAGACAGCTTCCTCTGTCTTGATATCATTTGGCATATGGAGACTTGATGGGTAAGGCTCCTTAGAACACATTTTCACAAGATTACTTTCAGGTGCAATGCAATGATTATTCTGTCATAAAAAAGAAGGAAAAGTATGAGTAGTGCGAGAAAACTGCTTATTTTCTGTACATAATAAAAGCATATTCAATCGATGTTATTAAAAATAAAATTAACAAAAGTGAAGATTTAAGGAGCCAGATCAAAAAGGTGAAACTACTGACTACCCTGATGAAAAAGAATGAGATGCAATTTGAAATGTTTTGCACAATTTATAAGCACAATACATATTTTGTTGTCAGGTAAATGATGAAGGTTATGCAGTATGGCAGTGGCATTAAATCTAAAGCTTTCAAAATTTGTGGCCAGTTTAGTAAGGGATTAGAAATAAGAGTGAAAATGTATTCATAATTTTACTACCATGATGGATCCATGAATTTGTCACCCCCTATGTTTTTCACTACACCAAACTGACCAACTTTATTTTAAATTTGGTTTTAAACCTTAATTCTACGCCCTAGTCAGGCTAAAATGCCCCAGGCAAGCCAAAGATGCCCTTGGTGTGGCTAAGAAAACTTTGTCAAACTAACAACACTCCAATTAAGGTTGAGCCGTGGACTGAGGTCAAGCCTACAATACCTCAGTTGAAGCTGAGTAGATAAGGATTGAGCCACCGATGCCCCAGTTGTGGCTGAGTAGACACCATTGAGCCAATAAAACCCCATCTGAGGTCAACCCAACAATGCCATGGCCAAGCCCAATTGTGGCCAAGCAGATTACTCCCCATGCAAGGACAAGGCGACAACACCCAAGTCAATGCTGAAACGACAATGCCTCGACCAAGTCTGTATCAATGACATCAAAGTCGAGGTCTAGCCAGCAATGCCCCAATCAAGGTTGAGTAGACTTTAATCAAGGCCAAGTCAATGACTCCCTAGTCAAGACTGAGCACTGACTCTGTGGCCAAGGCTAATCAAAAGATTTCTCAACCAAATGATGCTTTAGGATGAACAGTCTAAGATTTATTAAAACCAAAACAAATATCTAATCCATATCCAATTAATTGGATTGATTTTAAAATCCAAAATTTGGAGTTGGACATGAAACTACGGGTACCAAAGCAATCCATTTATCTATCATCCATCCTGTCCATCCACATGTAAATACATCCAATCTATCCATTGCAAAAGTATGAAACTGTTGATAAAATCAAATTCGTCCATTTAATTTTATGGATAATTAATTATTCATCCTTATTTCTAAAAATCAAATGGATCCTTCTATCAACACTTATCAGATGAATTATCCAACCAATTTTTTCATAATTAAGTATTTCATGAGCTTACCTTTTTAAAAAAATTTCAAAATATTTTTAAAATTTGTTTACGAAATTATTTTTTAAACTTAAAAAAAAATATTAGCCTTTCATGTGATGGATATCCATTCATGAAAACATTGTTAATCGATGGATTGAATTGGAATTTTATTGAAACGGAGTTGAAGTGATTTGGTTTGGTTTGATTTGGTTATGGATTTGATAATTTGGATATTTTGCACACCCTTAACAAAATTCATAACCTAATGAAGTAAACCTACTATATATAATATATTCATAACAACTAAAAATCGCTGTTAATGCAATGCTTACTGATGTAGACATGATTTCTACTTCTTCAAACAATCTCCTCTCCCCACAGGAAGTACGTGTCTCTCTCTTTCCTTCATGATGCTCATATCCAGCGTTCACAGTCTTCTTGTAATTCAAATCTACAGATTGAGAACCATATTGGATAGCATTGTATTTTGCAATCTCAATATTACCAGATGAAACACTCGCAGACTTGGTGGCGGGGTGTTTACTGTCATCAAATTGTTTTTCCACCAAAATCTCATCCACACTATTTGAAGAATTTGTTCTAGACTTGTATTCTAATTCCTGAATGATAGCCCGGACAACATAAAAATTGCCACCAACTTGTTTCTGGGCATCTGATATTGTAGGGAATTTCCCAGCATTCTCTGCTCTATACCTACATGTGAAAATAGTCAGAAAAAGTCAGGTATCTGTGATGTGAGCATCCCTGAATAGTTGAAACACCGACATGCCAGCATGAAACATAGTGCAGGAAAGCTCATAAAAGAAACCAAAGCTTCAACTACAAAAGAAATCAAGAAATACTTGTTCACAAAAGACTCCACCATAGCTCTTCTTTCATGTCTTGGAACCCTTTTTGGGCCTTTCTGGGCATCCGATGCCTCAGAAGGGACAGTAGCAGCATGTGACCACCCATGCCTGTGGACTTTAATTGGATCGACAGAATAGCATACTTCAAAGGGTACTGCTGTCAAACATCACAGTAGATATATAATCAAGTTATTCAATAACAGAATCAGTATCACAGTAACTGGTAATGCATTACAACCACAGTTCCAAAGAAAGGCATTGGAAAACAATAATCAACACTGACAACTAGAAACTTCAAAAAGTCAAAAACCAGTCACATTGATATGCGTCAATTAACACCAAAGAATTGAATAAAAAAGTAAGTAAAATTACAGTAAGCATCAAGAAAAGTGCTCCCACTTCTCCAAAAGTAACAATCAAGAGTTATACAATGGCAGTAACGAGATTTCAACCTACAACCTCTTGCAAACTTCCCAGACCTCTAAGTACCAAGACATACTCAATATCACACATACAACAATAGTGTCGTATTCTCTATCCGAGGTCTGCAACATGGATCATACATGCAATTTGGCAAGATAAAGCTCCAAGGATTATTATTTACCGTGAGATCTCCTTTGAAAACTTTCACCAAGTATTTTTTATTCTACCCCTTCTCTCATGACAACTTCGCGGAACTAAAAGTCATAAAACAACCTTCTTTGTAAAAACTATAGGGTTAAATATGTTTTTAGTCCCTAAACTATTGGTCGTTTCTGGTTTTCGTCTCTCTTTCAAAGTAAGGTACAATTTGGTCCTCATTCTTTTCGAAACGTTCCTTAGTCCTCGGAATTTTGGTTTTAGTCCTCATTTGTTGTTAGATGAGGACCAAATTTTTAAACTGTGTTTAGTTTTCGAGGACTAAAACGAACGTTTCGAAAAGAATGAGGACCAAATTGTACCTTACTTTGAAAGAGGGACGAAAACCAGATACGGCCAATAGTTTAGGGACTAAAAACATATTTAACCCAAAACTATACAAAATCACAAGCTGTTCCCTTTTCCTTAAAACACTCTAGAGACCATTCCTCTTTTAAGATCATTATCATTTAATCTCCCAGCTTCTTTTTTCAAAGAAGATAAACGCCAAAAAAGAGAAAAAAAACAGAAACCTTAACAGACATGAGAAAAACACGACAATGTCATAATGCCATTGACCCCAATCCCGCATTCTAATTCAGTTTCTAGCCAGATTAAACTTAACAAGGCACCAAGCCTAAACTCATTAAACAGTACCTAAAATATTACTGCTATTGATTAGTGAACTCAGCTTCATTTCTGTAAGACCGTAAAAAATCTTACTTCTAAAAAACAGCAAAAAAGAGCATAATACTTGCTATTTGACAAAAACAACAGAAGAATGTTACTAGAACATAGATAGAGACGAAACATGAGAAGAAGATGAGAGGGGAGATAGTTACAGTGGTTGGGTTTGGGAATAATGTTGCGATTGGCGCGTAAGGAGAGGCCTTTTGTAGTTGCGATCAGAAGCTTCTTCCTCATCTCATCTGTGTGCTCAAAGAGAAAGAGAATGAGGGTTTAGGGTTTTGCAGGTTGCTTCATGCAAAATCCAACGGCGCAGAAGTTTCGCTGTCCCAGAATTCAATTAGCGTTTTGTACAGGTGAGCCCAATGCAAAATTAATTACACTCAATTAATTATGTTAAATTTCTTTAGTCTAATGTTATTTAAAAATAATGTTTCACGTTATAGTTATCATTAGTTATAAAACATTGTCATCTTTTTTTCTTAAATAAGAAATAAATATACTTTTAATCATAAATTTTGGATATAAAATTAAAATTTATCATTCTCCCAAATTTCAATATATTTTATTTCTCAAATATTAAAAATAAACTAATATAATTTTTTAAACTTAATTGCATTAACTTTTTTAGGTTTGTTAAACTATATTCCATACTAACATTTGAGTAGGACTTTTCAAAGAAAACAGATAACTCAAATGAAATGTTAATTTGAAATGCATTTGACATATAAAAAAATCAAAAAATCAAAGTAGTTGGATTAGAATAACTATATATATATATATATATATATATATATATATATATATATATATATTCATTTATAAAGTTTTAGAATAAATTTGAAAATAGACGATTTTCAATTTAATGACTATATTTAATCCATAAAATAATTACTATAATAGAGATACTATTGATAAGTGGACTTTTTTTAAGTTGGTCTAACCCACAAGATTTGAATCTAACCTATATGAGTCTCGTGGCCTAAGTCAGTTTGTATGAGTCAGTCTCAAGTCAAGACAGACAATGTTGGATCACGCATCGGATGACTCGGCTCTACCCTTCAATCTAAGAACACTTAGGTTGACTCTTATGTCCGAACCGTTTGGTTAAACCTTCGATTTAGGTTGATTAGTCTTAACCCTCTAGTCTAATCCAACTTTCTACCACTCTCTAGCCCAGGTCAACTCATCTCGACCTTTGACTGAGCCAGCTCATCTTAACCTTAAACCTGGACCAACTCAGCTTGACTTTTAGTTCAAATCAACTTGACTCGACATTGAGCATAGATCGGCTCAACTCAACCTTCAACTTAAGCGAACTTAACTAAATCTTTGGCCTAAGACGATTCAACTCAACCTTTTGCATGGGCTAGCTCGACTTGACCTTTGACTCATAATAACTCATCTTAACCTTCTGTTCGAGTTGAAGGTATTGTATTTAAGAGTTAATTAAAGTATTTTAATAGGAAGAACCCATTTTTATCTTAACTTTAATCGACTTTAAGAAAAGGGCTTTGAGGTAGGGACTTTTTTAGGCCCCATGTTTAGTGGGCAATAAAATGAAGGCTTGTTAAGGTGGGTTGGACTGGTCCATGGGTCATGAGTCAAATTGACACTCCTACTAATAAGGGAAATGTTAAGTTATTAGTAACAATGTTACATAAACACAACTATATATTGGTTTGTGACTCCCCAATTGAAGTCATGCTTTTACTAGAAGTGTCAATTTAATGGTTGAGAAGAGTCAATATGGGTCAAAGGTCGAGGTAAATCAACCTAAACTAAAGGTCTAACTGAGATGGTCAAGGCTAAAGGCTAAGATGAGTCAACTTGAGTTGTAGGATAAAGAAAGTTGAATCAAGTCAAATGGTTGAGATGAGTTGGTTCAAGTTGTCAAGCTAAGTCAACTCAGATCATAAGTCTAGTCAAGCTAACGCGAATTAAATATCTAATCAAGTTGGTTTGTCCGAAGAGTAAAGTCGAGTCATCCAAGAGCCAACCCAATCTTGTTTATCGTAACCTAAAAGTGTCTTTTATATTAAAATACTATACATAAAAAAAGTAATAAACTATAACTTTGTTATTAATACCAAATAACTTATTTAATATGAAAACTAACAATTATTAAAAAAACAAAATATATATTGATTTTTTAAAATAATAACTATACAATTATAAAAAATATATATTAAAAACATAGAAACTACTAAGATATTATATATATTTGTTTGAAAAATTATATGAAATAGTTTATTTTATTTTTTTTCCTAATGATATAAATACTTCAAATAAATTAATATAATAATTTTTTTTTCTTTTTTTATTATATGTTATTTTACTTATATATAATTGCATGTCTTTTCTTTTTTATAATTGATAATTTTTTTATTAAATCAATTTATACGTCATTAATAATAAATTTATAGTTTGTTAATTTTCATAAATAATGTTTTAATATAAAAAAAATTATAATATAATATCAATCAAGATTTTTAAATAAGATAATACTAAAATAATGAATACAAAATAAAATTTTACAAAAAACACATTTGTATGATCAAAGTTGTGTAAATAGAGTATAATCTCACTATGATATAAAAATAACTTTGCTTCATGAATTTCAATCCTAGTTGAATTTAAAAATGGAAGAAAAAAATTAAACAAGATGGATTGTATTAAACAAACAAATTTGTGTCACACATCTTTTGCTAAGAATGAATAAATCAATTTGACTAAACACGACTTCACTTGAATAGTCAAACATCATTTCACTTAGGATGCCAACATAAAGTTATTTTTAGATAATACGACTTTTTTTAGAATAAATTAAGAGGGCCAAAATAATTTCTTTTATGAAAATTGCGACTAAGGAAACTAAAATCCTCTATTATAAAACTTGAAATAGAAAGTCTAATTGGTGTAGCTAGAAGAAATCAAGATCTTATTTTGCAACAACATATAAGGAAGAAGACCCAAAAGTCTATTGATTTAAGGTTTTATGTTGAAGGTGATATCAATCTTTTATGTGGTTTGGTTCCGATCTCATTTAATGTCAAATTTTATTCGTAAATCTCCTTTTGAAGATCTATCAATGGTATTATAACTAATAGTTTGTACTGATTGTAAGACCCTAAAAAATTAAATGAAAATGTGAGTCTCGAGTCATTAGAAGATTAAGAAAACTCAAAATGTATCAAGTTGTAACAAAAGTTCAAGTTAGTGTGCAAAATACAATGTTGTAAACTTTGACATGGTTTAATATTTTAATTATAACTTTTCGTACAAATTATATATTGAGTTGATTCCTTTTTCATTGGAAAGTAGACTCGAAGAGCTTCGATTCGAGTACTCGGATACGTAATTCCGACACTTGGAAGGGGTTCAACTGAACTGACAAAGTTGTCAAAATCCTTTCCACTCGGTGGCCAACTCGCTGGGCGAATTTACCCCGCGAGTGAATGTGTTCTAATGGGTTTTTGACTACTTAAACGCGTTTTTGGCCATTTTTGGCTATTGAAGGAGGTCCTGGGGGACAGGAAGGGTTCCTAAGTCGAACCAGAGGTTAGAGTACGAAGGTTTTGGAGTAGAGGGGCTTTGGAGCTGTGTTTTGAATCGGGGGAACGTTCGCAAAGTGTTTTCGAAAGGCTAGCTAAGGAGAAAATCGGAAGGGGAGCTAACCTTGAGTCTTTTGTTTTTGTATGATCTTAAATCTTGTATATGTATAGGATTTTGATTCTCTTTATGTTTTGTTACATATTTTAAATAGGTGTACGATTTGGAATTGGGATATGCTTATGTTTTGATGGTTTTGAATCTGATTGAGGATTAATGGAGAGACTTTGTTTCTATTAAGCATTTTGAATCGGTGGAAGGTTTTTAAATGAAGGAATGCTTATGTCTTGATGATTCTGAATTTGTTTATGGATTTAAAAGGAGATTAGGCTTCTAATACGAAATTTTGAATTATACTGTTTATCCGCTGTCTCTCATGAAAATATTGATTTTAGATGTTTACAAGATTTTGATGAATCTGGGTTGTTGATTTGGTAAGTGAAAATTATATATGGTTTGGGTATTGATTTAAGAAGATATCTGATGATGGAAATGAAATTTGTAGAGTTAGGACATAAATCTTTGATGTTTGAGAGTATTTTGGTATATATGATGATTAAGGATGAATTTTGGATGTCTGGAAAGTCTGTATAATGAAAGGAATAGTCGCAATAGCCAAGAAAGTGAATTTTCGTGTTTTTGGGTAAATTATGAATAGTTAATCGATTAACCTGCAATGTTAATTGATTAACATCATATATAATCGATTAGCACCATGCTGAATTTGTTTTTAGAGGTTATGGGGTTTTGGATGTCTATTTTGGACGTTCTTTAGGTCGTTCTGGGGGGTTTTGACCATTCCGGAGCCACTGGTCAGGGTTTCCAAGCTGTTTGAACTACTTAAGTATTCAGATTAATAGGTCATAAAGAAATATGTGTTAATAGGTAATGTTTTCTGTGATAATATGAAATGTTTGAGTATGTAAGAGTTGTTTCTTGAGATATGACTAAAGATTAAAATATATTGTATGTTGACATGTGTATTTATGAATGGAAAGTGTGGAACAGAGTTCCTAGGAGAAACTTCTTATTGATTTGTGCCAAGTGTTGTATGTATGAATGTAGGACTCCGACTTAGGGGTTCATTCTGAGGCTCTAAATAGTCTCGATCTCACGTAGAGAGAAAGTTATGTGGTGGAGAGTGGGAAATCTTACCTAAGATCCACTTTGGGGGGACAGAGTAGGAAGGATGTAAATTTAGTGGTTATATTCATATCCGAAGATCCAGTTTAGGGGACAGAGTATGATAGGATAATTGAGCTAGCGAGTAAGTGCATCCATATCCGAAGATCCACTTTGGGGGACATAGTAGGATAAGATGTATCTTAGTAAAGTACCACTCATTGCAAGTGTAGAACCAGCTAAGAGTTCAATATTCATATGATTATCTGGATGAGTCTAGTTTATGATAATTATGGTATGTTTATTGTATGATTGAGTAATTTGACTTGTAAGTTGAAAATTATGTTATTAATTTAAACATACCATGTTGTTTTCTGTTACATTAGCTCACCCTTGCTTTGTCTGTTGTGTGGTTGTTATTTTGTGCTATGTGTTTTCTCTCGGCGATGATCATCCGGTGGATGTGAGCAGAAGGTGATGAGATGTCGGTGGAGCAGACATTAGATGGAGGATCGACTGGTGTTTGTATAATTATGAGGAAAATTTATTCCTCCATCTATCAAGTGTCTTAATGTAAGAACTCTATTATAGTTTAATGTTATAATTATTGG